CTAATGTAACAAGTTCAATGTTTTTTCTTAGTGTGGTAGTGTCGTGATTTCTCCATGGCAAGGCTCTGATGAATCTTCTCCTTATCAAATTTAACCACAGCTGGGGGGCAGGGTGAGGCTTGACCCAAATACAGATTGAGAGGAAGATATTATAATGAAGAGGAAATCAGATAAGAAACACATCTGGACACGCATTTGAGAGAACTTCAAATTAATAAAATCGTCAAAAATAGGGCATCCAGTCACATAATATTATAATTTATAAATGTATATAGGATTTTTCTAAATGTACAGACCGATGTTTTAACAGAAGCAGTGCTGCTGGGAGCCGGTGAGTATCCAGCATTAGAAAGCTTGCTTCTCAAAGCCTAGCGATCTCTATTGATCACAAATAAAGCAGCAACAAAGACCGCCTAACAACTACACTGTACATAATCACACAGAACTCAGGGAAATCTTCAAGAATTCCTAGAAGACAAACTAATGCTCAAAGATGCAAAGTTCCAGAATGATCTAATTCACAAAGTACAACCATTTCTGTACATCACACACTAAAGCATCAGTCAGAACAAATCTGATATGAGAAGGAACTTTTAATGTGTCCTTCAAGTTTCTGGGAAACCCATGAGGGATATTTGAGCCATGAGGATCATCCTGTCCACTTGGGAAAGCTTGATAAGTGCACTGACTGGGAAACTGCACTAATGAAAAAGCTCCTCGCTGTCAATCACTGATACTGCATGTTGAGCTGTGGGCATTTATACTAATTCTTCAGATGCTTCGCTTTAATGTGGACTGAATGAGTGTTTAGTTGGCAGTCTCTCACACATGGACCTAATGTGAGGACTAGCAAAACACACACAAACATGCTCATATCACAGTCACTCACCGCTAACAGCCAATACACGTGTTCTCGACCACAAACAGATAAGATTTTCTGTCTCTCACAAGTCACTGCAAACTCCACCAAGTGGTTTAGTCCCCATAGGAACAGCTAGTAATAGTAGACAGTGAAATGACCGCAATAAAATATAAATAGCCTCATGTGCAAACAAAGAGAGTTGGAATAAAAGCACACTGGTGTAATCCAACCTCCCGGAATACCAAGACAATCCTAATGCATCTTGATATGTAGCAAAATTACATTCACATTTAATATCGAGCGGCTGTGCAATAGAACAACATACTGGATTTCTGATCATTTTATACAGGGATGTGAATCAGACAGTGGGGTCGATGGCAGGACGCACTTCGGTTGCTATGGTGACAGCAGGTGGGAGGGGATGCTGAAGTTTATGTGTGTGCAAAGGAAAGAGCCAGATGCTTGCTGGTGAATTTAGTCCCTGTAGAGCCCATTAGAATTAGATAGATGAAGTAAAACAACAGCTAGAACTGTTCACAATGACGGCAGTGTTGTTATTGTTCATTCAAACTAAAACTATTAAAAATCTGTTTTGGTATGAAATGAAATAAATTCTAAATATTGAAATACTGAAGAAACATTATATGGATACAAATGTGAACGTAAAAAGCTTGGGAAATTAGAAATGCTGCATTGGTAACTAACTGAAAAAAAAACACTAAACTTACTAGAATTCAAATAAAAATAAATTGAAGCTAAATAAATGCATTTAACAAAATGAGATAAAACTTGAAACTGAAAACATAAAAAATAAGAGTGTTTTCTGTTCAGATGCTGTATTTCTGTTATTGTTATTAATTCTGTCTGTGAATAGAAATTTGAGCTTTAATATGTCTGTGTTTATTGATTACAAATACACACTGTGATATTTCTTGAATAACTATTAAATGTCACCAATTATTTACCAAAAAAGGAAAAAGCTTAAAAAAACTTTTGAAATGTTGCATTGGCGGCTAACTGAAATAAAATAAGTTGAAACTAAAATATCTAAAACTTAAATTAAAATAAGTTAAATTTTTTTTATTTAATTTAAAAATAAATACATAAATGTATTTAAAAACAAACCAAAGCTTAAATAAAAACTGAAAACATAAAAAATAAAAGATCATTCAAAATACTAAATATTAGTAGGCCGTATAAATAATGCTATAATATCACTGCATGGCGGGTATAATGTTGTTTTCTGTTAAGATGCTGTATTTCTGTTATTAACTGTTCTGTCTGTCTATGAATAGAAATTTGAGTTTTAATATGTCTGTGTTTATTGATTACAAATACACACCGTGATATTTCTTGTACAGTTAGGAATAACCAATAGACGTCACAAACTATTTACCAAAGAAGGAAAAAGCTACACCGTCAGAACCCAAAACAATCCACAAATTCCCCGTCATGCTAAGATAGTGTTACCACAGTAATCTATCAAGTCAGTACTTTGGGGGCACTACTTTAGGGTGTGTTACCGTGGCAATGTGACAACAGACAAGCGCCCTCCCCCGGTGACCTCACCCGGAAAACTGCTCCTGAATGGATTGTCTCCAATTCATCTCACCATGAGAAATGGGATGGGCTCCTAAAGAAGCTGGCTTCAGAGAATTACAATAAAGCACATCCCAATCTGTGACAAAGCACTAGGAACAGCTCATTATAAAGAGCCAGCCAGCAGCAGGAACCTTCAAATGTCTATTTTACAGTTGTGCTGTCAATTCACGTTTATAAAAATGCCGCGATTTATGACAGATTTCAGATGATGTAATGTTTGCAGACCATGGTCAGGCTCAATAAAGGTAAATAAAGGAGGCACTGAAGGCTTTTGAGCAGGAACCGTGCTATAGTTTTCTTATTAAAGTCTGAACAACACGCTGAGATTACAGAGGAGCTGACTCACGAGGTTCCTCCAGTAACTGTGATCTTTAGGGACGTGTCCTGTGGCGTGACAGACATCACACTAAAGGCTACAGAACTAAAGCCGAGTGTTAATGAGAAGGAGGGAGAGTGATGGCCAAAACTGTAGAATCAATAAATGAATACACCTGTCAATCTGCACTACACACTCACACACACACACACACACACACACACACACCACACACACACACACACACAACCACACACACACACACGTTGGGTTTCCATGTTTGATGGGCTCGTTCCATAGGTTTTTCTACTGTACAAACAGTATTTTCTATCCCCTTAAATTAACCCTACTCCTCACACAAAACTACAGGCATTTTTAGATTCTCCAAAAAAAAATGTCCTCACAAGGTCAAAATATACTGCTATTACTATCCTCGTTTGGTCCCCATAATGTGGGAATACCAGGTACACACACAAACGTCTATTTGCCTAATGTGTGATGCCCATGCGAGAATTATTTTTTAGTCAGTCTGGGAATGCATGGCATACGCATATGGTCCAGTACAGGTCATTGCAAGAAGAAACAAAATCATTCAGCAGCTGAATTAACTGTAAAATCCAAAACGAAATTTACAGAACTAAACATGCAATTCAAACTGGGTTCAAGAACTTACCGTGTTTACAGGCTGAGGAAAAGATGTACTAATTTTTTTTTCTCCTGTTGCGGCAGGTGCATGTATCCGAGGGTAGGTGTGTGTCGGGCTCACAGACATTGTGCAGCGACGCTCAAAGATGCAGAGCATTACAGCCAGCGGACGCACTGCGCATGCGCGTGTGCTGAGGGACGAGCTACAGCGCATGCGCAGTGACGGGCTCAGGTGAATCGAGCGTGACGTAGCCTGTGGCGAGTGTAACGCAGATATTAATATTGACATACAGCGTATGTCATACAGTTTATTAAACATAAGCAGGTCTATTTGGCAACCATGGAGATGATGGAGCAGTGTCCAGATACAAATAGCAATCTGAGGGTAATTTTAGAACCACTGACTGAAATGTATTTAGTGTCTTCAAAAACTGTAGTATGAGCTCGAATCCCATTAACATTTTTTCCTAGTGATTTGCATACATTTTGCTTTTTAGGGAAACAAAATGAAGTTGCTTTTAGGCACCAGAGTCAAGCATTCTCATAGGCCTATTTCTTCATGTGAAAAATCTATTTAATCTATTCCTGTGTTTGGGTCTTCCATTCCTGTGAACAAGTAAATATATTAATCTAATATTTAACTATTCTGAATACAAAATGTTCCAGACAGAAGAAAATCATCCCTTAATGTCCCAAAAGCAACTGTGAAGAAGAAGAAGAAAAAAAGATTCTTCATACATATAGATTCTACATATGTCAGATGTTTTATAGTAACACAATTTCAGTTTATTAAATATATAAAATGATTGAATATGTAAGATGGCATGTCATGCAGAGATGGGCAGATCTTCTTTAGGATTATTTCTCACCAGTTACATAAAGGTGATATGAGGCCTTGCAGAAAAATAAAAGACGGAGAAAAAATTAATGACAAAAATTAATTAAAATCCATCTCCACATTCACAGTGCCATCATTAAATGAGTTTTGCATAATAATAATAAAATACTAGGACCCACTAGGAGACCTCACAAACTTCCAGGGAAGCCCAAATAAGTTTTACAATTATTTAATTTTATTTATATTAACATAAAACTAAAGATGCACATTAAACTGACATTATATGTTGAGTTTGTTTGTATTACAACAGAAGCACCATAAGTACATATCAGCTCAGATATGAAGGCTTTTTAATATTGTCTGGGACAAAATAATAGGGGCTTTGGATTCCACAAAAAAGTCGAGAATCATTTATAAAGTAAAAAAAAAATTAAAATTTTTTTATTCATACTGATAAAAAAAAAAAAATGTATAGCCTGAATGCACTGTAAGTCGCTTTGGATAAAAGCGTCTGCTAAATGCATGAATTTCATTTTAATTTAATTGAATAAAGTCAGTGAAAACACTGGGTGAACTAGTAAGAAAGACAACAGTGCCCTCTGTAGGCAGAATGCAGTATTGACCGTAATGCCAGACGTAATATGAAACAAAAAACATAAATACTTTCCATTGGAAGGATTTAATCATTTTTAATTAAAAAAAAAAAGAGTTATACACACGAAGACTTAAGAATTACATTTTTTTATTTTATTGTCTCCCATGATTCAACATTCTTGCACACACCCAATCCATCATTAATCAACAAATCCTCAAAAAAAGCACGCAGAAGAAAAATGCATGCATGTGTATGCACGTCAGTCAGTTCTCACACATTTACTGTGCATTGGTGTCTGCGTGCCGCTAAGACAGAACTGAAAATCACACGAGAATCAAAAGGTAGTTAGTTGTACATCAAATGAAAGATCAGAACCAGCTGCGAGGGTGTTTTAAGAATAAACTGCATTACTTTGTATTCAGTAAATCTGAACATTCCATTTGGCATCCATTGTTTGTCTGTTTGTATATTAATTTGCTCTACATTCATTTCCTTTGAAGTTTTTTTTCCCCATGGTAACGCCTGAATTTAAAGCTTTTTCAGGTTAGCATGTGATTAACTCATCATCTAATCTGACCGAACGATACACTACTGTATATTATGAAGAGCTGCACTCATTAGACACTTACAGCAATAATAAGAGGGGAATGATTTAGAAGAGTTCTTCTTCCTCTGACATGCAAAAAAAATAAAAATAGTAATACAATTTAAAAAAGAGAAGATGCACAGAGAAAGAACAACCCAGGCAGCTGACATGCTCTCTCATGTCAAATCAGTCTGGTTTACATTTTATACAAAATAGTGACTTGGTTATCGAAGAAGTGCAATGCTTAAAAAAAAAATAAATAAAACAAAAGAACAGATAGCACAGATTGTAATTTCAAGTTGCTGGTCTATATGCATGTGTGGCTGTGTTTATCGGTCCATTCTGTGGTCTGTAGAAAGGTAATGAGAGCATCTGTTATTATACCTCCTGACAACACTGACGAAGAGCAAGGCACATCAAGTCAGAAACGAAGCCTCATCACCTTTCAATGGGATCTACAAAAGGTGCACTTTAAAAATGCATAGCAAACTTTATCACAAAAAGCCAAAGATTGAGTTCACAACCTCTGATTATTCTTTCTTGTGACAGTAAACGCAGCATAGCAAAACTTCAAGTTTTCAGATCAACATGCCCTTTAAGGCGGCAGTGTGGACATTTATGCCAATGTATTTGATACCAATATAACAGTGCGGTTACATAAAGAAAGGCTGACACCAGCGAGGTCTAAAAAAGGGTGAAAAGGCAAGTTTGATTACTTTAAAGTCTCTACAACATTCATTTCTTCCTGACTGTATTTCGTCTACCATTAAAGTGCTGGTAACTTGATTCAAATACAAGATTGTTTCTGTTGCGCAAGAGCGTGCAAACTCTCAGACTAAAGAAAGAGCATTCGTTTAGAAACTAAACTTCAAGTGTAAAGTCAGACGCAGCAAGGACAAAGAGAGGAGCTAAATATTTCTCTTTTATCAAAACGGGTTCCTGTCTCACACGTTTATTGACAGGTTTAGTGTCCTGAAAGGAGTGATATAGCGAGACATTTTTGCTTTTTATCAGTGCTCCTCCAGCCAAGAGGGGGTTTCTCCTCCCGTTAACTTTAGCTTGATGTGGAACTGTTTCAGGGTCTGTTCCAGCTGCTGCTGGTTGCCTGCGAAGTACGCGGCGATGGCGTTATGGAAGAGAATCAGCTGGTTGTGTAAAACCTTCACCTGAGGAAAAGGGAATGAAAACTGTAACCCTGAGGACGGAAATCATAAATCACAGGGCTGAAAAGAAAAAATAACTAACATCAGAATGAAAGTGACTTTTTGGTCTGAATAAATCTCTGATGTCAAAACAGGTTTGAAAGCACAGCTTAACCATTAATTAAACTATTTCATTAAATAAAATAAATACATACAAAAAGAAAAAAAAAAAGCATTTTTATTGTATTGGATTTATTGCTGACTATATCCTAAACTGTGTCTGGCTAATTCAGTGTGGTCTAGTTCATTTGGGAGTCACACTTGTGTTGTTCGCAGTTCAAAAGTGAACTGAAACACCTGAAATGTAACTTTTTTTTATTTTCAGTGAAATCAATGTAATATATTTGTGTTCGATAATATTTGTTCTTTTTTATTTCGTATTTTGAGAGAATTTCATGGTACTATTTAATATTTATGCCATAATTACGATAAATTTTTCCCATTGAAAATAATACACACAAAAAAAATATGTTTCGAATATTTTTCTATTACTTTTAAATGTTGGCAGTATTTCATGTTAAAATAGAGACAATGCCTTTAAAATCCAATTTTTGAAGGCAGATTAGTTCCATCTGGTGGAAGTAAAAAAAAAAAAGGTAACATTTTATTTTAAGGTGTCCTTGTTACATGTTACATGTACTTACTATTATAATAACAATTAATTATGCATAATTACATGCAAGTAACCCTTACCATATAGTAAGTACATGTAGTTAATTATTCTTAAATGTATAATTACACTGTAACAAGGACACCTTAAAATAAAGTGTAACCAAGAAAAACATCTGAAATTCCATGGTTTAGCCACTAGATTCCAATAGAGCTTTCATTATTGACAGCGAAGACCACAAGTGAGACTTTTTTTTTTTTACGACCATTTAGCTTTTTCGAATCAAGTCCACGATTTTTTTTTTGTGGTCACATAGTGACTGCCATAAAAGTCAGCGCGTTTCGTACCATTTCGATGAAGTAGCTATTTTTTTTAATTTGAAAACTTTTTTTTCCCTCGGTCTAAAACGAAAAGAAGGGCTAGACAACTTTAGTGATAACCAACTATTTTTATGTTTATTATACATCATCTGAACAGTAAAGATCAGTCTCAATCGGCTAGAGTTCATCTTAGTCAACTTGAAAGGGCCTTCGCTACATATTTGACTTCTGTAATGCGATACGTTGTTTCCAGGATATTAAACAAGAAAGACAAGAGGGTTTGGTTAGATCAGCCAAAAATGAAGGTTGTTTCAGAGATGGAGCACGTTACTATATTTTAAAAGATTACAGGAACATCAGCATCACATTTACAAGGTGCAGGATTTTAAATGTACACAGTCAGTGAGTTTTTCTTTTTTTTTAACTGCCTAGGTCGCCAACTTTGCTAACATTAACCCTATAGGTACAGAATAACCCGCATAACCAGTTACTAGCTACAGCCGACAGTCCAGAAAACATGAGAAAATTCACTGACGTTTGATTTTCACCATATTAACTTCAGAAATTCATTGTATTATGTAACTGATTAAAGTATAAAAGACAAACAAGATTATTTAAATGTTGCGAATTCCACAAGATACATTCGCCTACCTTGTTTTCCTCCAGAAACTTGAGTTTGACCGAGACGTCGATGCGCATCTTTTCGTATTTTTCGCGGTGGATCTGGAAATGTTGCTGAGACTGCTCGATTTTTGGGAGCGTGTTGGCATCCCGCGGACCCAGATTGAGCTCCTCTAAATCCGTGCGATACGCGTCATACTCAATCCTACCGAAAGAGCACAGATCTCAGAGAATGAGGGTTGTTTTGCTCAATACATTAATATAAAAGTAGTACACAGTGGCTTGCGACGATCTATCCAGACCTTGCTGCTTCATATTGCTTAATGTTGATCAAGGTGTCCTCTATAGTTTTATCCACTAGAGTTTTAACACTGGAGATGAAGAAGTTGATAGCTCCAAATAGAGTTTCGCCATTTTTCGCCAGGAGTTTTTGGGTTTCAGCATTGTAGCCGAATTCCTCCTGAAATCACACATCAATAAATAGAGATTGCATGTATATTTGCAGCTACTAAAATAACCCAGAAATAGATACTGCAATGAGACTTTACGCCGTCTGCAAATAAATGAATTCAAATGAAATGTTACTCCCCGAGGGACCAGTGCACTTTCTGGATAGAGTCCAGTCATAAAGTATTTAGTATTCATGGCGGAAACATCAATACCAAAAGTGTATCCAAAACAGTCCATGAATAAATTATACTGTATGGAAGGCATCCAGTTATTGTGTCAGAATTGCAATATTATTTATCAATGAAAGAGCTGAGAATCCATATATGCTACGCAGACATATCTGTGAGTGAAATATTACTGTATTCAATCCAATGCCAGAATTACGATATTTTGCACACCCTGCTGTTCAAAAGTTTGGGATCAGTAAGATTTAAAAGAAGTCTATTCTGTTCATCAAGGCTGCATTTATTTGATCAAAAATACAGAAAAAACACTAAAATTGTGAAATATTATTACTATTTAAAATATCTGTTTTCTATGTGAATATCTGTTAAACTGTAATTTATTTCTGTGATGCGCAGCTGAATTTTCAGCATCATTACTCCAGTTTTCAGTGTCACATGATCTTCAGAAATCATAATAATATTCTGATTTATTTTCAGTGTTGAAAACAGTTTTTGCTGCTTAAGTTTTTTGGTTTTTTTCTGGAACCTGTGAGATTCTTTGATGAATAACAAAATAACATCATTTAAATAAATAATAAATACGTTTTGTAACAATATACACTTCCATTCAAAAGTTTGGGGTCAGTAAATTTTTTTCTTTCTTTTTTTCTTTTGAAAGATATTAAGACTTTTATTCAGCAAGGATGTGTTAAACTGATAAAAAGTGATAGTGAAGACCTAAGTTTGACAACCAGAAAGTGTGTACTGTTTTTTTGAACAATATTGTTTTGCCATTAAAAAAAATATATATATATATATATGTAGGATTTTTGTGAGATCGTTGGTTCTCAGAATATTGATACGAAGAGTGAAAACACTGTTAAAATGTGTGTGCATCCTTTATAAGCCCATTTAAAATTTACACTGAAAAAAAAAAATAAGATGCTTAATATCCATTTTTAAAAACGGACTCTGATTGCATTTCGTTTAAAATCAAGAGGCTTTGGCTGATGCAACATTACAGAGAAGAGTTCTTTATATAGTTTTTATACTTACATGTAGCTCGGGTGTTTTGAGACTAAGGTCGGCAAACGCGTCGCCCAGCAGTCTCTGCGTCTGCAGCATCTGCACCAGCTGAGAGCAAAGCGTCTGCGCCAGCTTGATAATATGCTCGTACTTTCGTTTGTTGTCACGAAGAACCTCGATCTGAGCCTCCAGCTCCAGATCAACCGTACGAGAGCCGCGTCCTAACTTCTCTGACAGAATCTGCTTAGTGCACTGCGGCGAGAGGTACAGTACAAGATACAAAATCTGTTAAAGGGACAAGTTCACCCAAAAATGTAAATGTGCTGTTTGTTTACTCATCCTCAAGCCCAATCAAGATGCAGGTGACTTTTTTTCTTCAGTAGAACAGTAAAGAAGATCTTTAGCTGAAACTGTGATCCTTGGTGATTCATAAAATGTAAGTCAGCAGCTGCACGTCTTTGAGAATAAAAAAAATGATATCAAGAGACACACAATTAATAGTCGTGGCTCCTGACGATATATTGAGGTCTTATGAAGCGAAACGATCAGTCTGTGCAAGAAACTGAACATTATTTACAACATTATTACCTGTGATCCAGAGCCTCAGGCAAACGGGGAAATCTGTGAACGAATCATTCTTTTGAACCGGTTCTTTTTAGAGAACTAGTTGAATCAGTTCATCACATCAGACTGAAGCATCTGAATCAGTTTGTGTCTCGAGCAGCACAGATCTACAAGTTACTCAATCAAAACTCACTTTCAGACGACTGGAAATGAGCCGAAATAGCGGCGATTCTCTGATGAATGAACTGATTCAGCTCCAGTTCTTGAACCAGTTCACTGAAACAAACGGTCCGAAAGAACCAGTTCGTGGAAAAGAATCATATTTCCCCGTTTGCCTGAGGCTCTGGATCAGAGGTAATAATGTTGTAAATAATGTTCAGTTTCTTGCACAGACTGATCGTTTCACTTCATAAGATCTCTATATATCATAAGGAGCCACGACTATTAATTTTGTGTTCCTTGATATGCTTTTTTTATTCTCAAAGACGTGCAGTTGCTGACTTGCATTTTATGAATCACTAAGAAAAAAGTCACCTACCTCTTGGATGGTCTGAGTGTGAGTTAATTAACAGCAAATTTTCATTTTTTGGGTGAACTATCCCTTTAACAAAATGGGCAAACATCGAAAATAAGAAATATTTACAGAGCTACAAAAGATTTAAAGGGGCACAGAGGATATATAGAACCCTGTCTCTTTTGTGACCGCAATATTATAGAGAAGACATGAAATGATGGGGAGAATATTCAAAGGGATCATGACTGAGAAATGTCACAAGCTGGACTAAACTAGTATTGCACATGCATGTTAAAGCTAAACAGACTTTTCTGACACATGGATGCTTGAGACATTTTGAGGGAACACAGATGCCATTATAACCACTACGACAGGAATCACTGACTTTATACGTGTTGACGCTCCACTTCCTCATCAGCTCCAGTTTCTCTATAGCTGGACTCTTTATGTCATCAGCGAGGACCACTGCTCCTGCCGTCTGCTGCTCTGTCAAAGCACCTGATGACAGAATGACATCCATTATATCAATATCATCCCTCTACTCTTATTGAGACGCACTGGCATAAACTATCAAGACTCAAATACGTCATCTGATGTGATAAAATGATGATGATTGGCTAAATCAAGTCAATCAATATTAACATCCAAGATAATTCTGTGTTTGACAAATCACATCTGTTTCTACTGATCAAAAACATGGTTGTTATTGGTGTTGTTATGGTTAACTAAAACAAACTCTAAGCATATTACAACGATTTCTGAATGATCATGTGACACTGAAAACTGGAGTAATGGCTGCTAAAAAAGCTTTGCCATCACAGAAATAAATAGCATTTTAATATACATTAAATATTTTAAATTGACAATTTAAATTTGTACCAATGTTTCACAATATTATTGTTTTTACTGCATTTTTAAACAAATAAACTCCAGAATTTTGCTCCAAAATATACTGGTAGGGGCGTGTGATATTTATCATCTACAATAATATGTTAATTGTTGTTTTAATGATGTGCGAGCTGACATTATGGAGTATGCCACTCAAAAAACAAACAGAAACACGTCTTGAGAGTCCAAAAGCATTTACTGCGTGATGAAGCAGTCAGAATGACCTGTAATTCAAGTTATGAAAGCAACAAAATATTCATAAGATACGATATAGTTGAGTAATATCACACTAGCAACAGTGCCGTTTTCCTGAATATCAGCGTATGAGCGCGATCGCAAATGTGATATTAACTTTATATAACAGTTCAACAAGCATGAAGTTAATATTGAGTGAGTTACACTTTAGACACAATAGTGTTTTTTCTGTTTCGCCAGTGAAAAAGTTAGAGCAGAACATTTGTGCGTCTCAGAGCAACACTGCAGTGTTTCGTTCCTGAATGAATCTGTTTTTGAATTAATCATTTGAATAAATGATTCAATGATACATTCATAAAGACAGTCACTTGCTTTGTTTCGAAATGAATCAGGCATTTTGAACAAATTGTTTGAATAAATGATTCAATGATCCATTCATAAAGACAGTCACTTGCTTAGTTTCTAAATGAATCAGGCGTTTTGAACAAATTTTTTTGAATAAACGATTCAATGATCCATTCATAAAGACAGTCACTGGCTTAGTTTCTAAATGAATCAGACGCTTTGAACAAATTATTTGAATAAATGATTCAATGATCCATTCATAAAGACAGTCACTGTCTTAGTTTCTAAATGAATCAGACGCTTTGAACAAATTATTTGAATAAATGATTCAATGATCCATTCATAAAGACAATCACTTGCTTTGGTTCTAAATGAATCAGGCGTTTTGAACAAATTGTTTGAATAAATGATTCAATGATCCATTCATAAAGACAGTCACTGGCTTAGTTTCTAAATGAATCAGACGTTTTGAACAAATTGTTTGAATAAATGATTCAATGATCCATTCATAAAGACAGTCACTTGCTTAGTTTCTAAATGAATCAGGTGTTTTGAACAAATTTTTTTGAATAAATGATTCAATGATCCATTCATAAAGACAGTCACTGGCTTAGTTTCTAAATGAATCAGACGTTTTGAACAAATTGTTTGAATAAATGATTCAATGATCCATTCATAAAGACAGTCACTTGCTTAGTTTCTAAATGAATCAGGCGTTTTGAACAAATTGTTTGAATAAATGATTCAATGATCCATTCATAAAGACAGTCACTTGCTTAGTTTCTAAATGAATCAGGCGTTTTGAACAAATTGTTTGAATAAATGATTCAATGATCCATTCATAAAGACAGTCACTTGCTTAGTTTCTAAATGAATCAGGCGTTTTGAACAAATTGTTTGAATAAATGATTCAATGATCCATTCATAAAGACAGTCACTTGCTTAATTTCTAAATGAATCAGGCATTTTGAATGAATTGTTTGAATAAATGATTCAATTATCCATTCATAAAGACGGTCACTTGCTTCGTTTCTAAATGAATCAGGCGTTTTGAATGAATTGTTTGAATAAAACGATTCAATGATCCATTCATAAAGACAGTCACTTGCTTCGTTTCTAAATGAATCAGGCGTTAAAATGAAAGATATCACAAAGCAGTGTACTATGTTTTCTTCTTATTTTTAACTGTCAATCATTAATTTAAAAAAAGCGTTAAGGAACATTAGGCACCAGGAATATTATCAGTTTTAAATCGAAACCCTGAAAACTCAGCGTTAATGCTCTTATTATTTATGAGGTCAATAACATAAATTTGACAATACAACCCATAACGGGCATATTATTGGTGAAAACGTGGCCAAGTAAAAATGCAGTGTGTTTTTGAAGTCACCTTAAGTGTACAAATGTGACCCTGGAGCACAAAACCAGTCATAAGGGTCAATTTTTTGTGCTCCAGGCTCACAAATGCATATAAACATATTACAGCGTCTCTTCTTGACTCGAAAAGTTTTTTTCCCCTCAGACACTGAAACTAAATACAGCATGTGTGTGAAAGTTTCTGTGACTGTACAAAGTTCATGAATATTTAATGAGGTAAGCACTAATTAATTTATGATTGGTCGGCTGTTGCTAAACAACTCGCCGTGTCATTCTAGCGCCATTGTTTCACATTGTACACATCTGGCGACACCAAACGCACGTATAATCAAGGGTTAAAAGAGGTGCTAGACATCATTCACAACTATTTGTGTGAAACATTGCTTTAACCAGGTACTTTTAGAGATGCCCGGTAATTCAAGGTGTCTAGTTCTTCTGTTTAATGTGATGAAAGTCCACACTCAAGACAATTTCCTCACAAGGTTAAAAAAGACTACTACTTAGGGGTGTGCGATACGATAATATCGTAATTGTTGTTTTAATCAGAGCCGCATTAGCATTGACTGCATGATGAAGTCTATTAGAATGCAGTCAGAATGATCATATAATTCAAGTTACAAAGGCAACAAAATATCCCTGTATGGGTTTTTATTTGATAAGATTTGATATAGTTAAGTAACAATAGTCAATAACTAACCATATAATAGTCTGTCTATTCGTATCAATAATTAGGAACATAACTGCTGCAGTCATAAGACCTTATGTCATTGTCATTATGTGTTATTGTACATTATACTTAGGAAACATTGATATCCAAACATTCTGTGTTCAAATGGCACCATTGATAGTTGAGGTCTGTTCAGGACAAGAGCGGTTTAGAAACAGTGGAAGCGGTGCATGATGGGAGACAAAAACAGCGCTAAAGCTAGAGTTCAGATGCAGAGCGCTACCTCCACCAGAAAGCTTTGCACAACCGCAGCTCGTCAGGGCTCATGAAGGGTTAACTGCAGCACCACAAGCAAAGGAAATTAAGGTGTAAAAACCCCCAAACTGATCAGGTCAGCTGCTGCTGTAGAATAATTATTTAAAATCAACAGGGAACCAGAACAAGTAGTTAATCAAAAAGTACAAGGTACAGGAATAATAGCCAAGTCTGACTACACTGCCATCTGGTGATCATTTTTATCAGTTTGGGGCTGATATACACATTTTCATATACACTAGCATTCAAAAGTTTGGGGCCAGCAAGTTTTTTATTTATTTTTTTAAGAAATGCTATACTTTTATTCAGCAAGGATGCATTAAATTTATTAAAATAGACAGCAAATGCATTTTGTTAAATGAGATTTCTATTTCAAATAAACGCTGTTGTTTTTAACTTCCTATTTAAGGAATCCTATAAAAAACAACAACAACAACAAAAACAAAAAACAAATCTGCATAGACTATTAGCATGATTTCTGAGTAATGATGCTGAAAACTGCCATCATTTTCACATTTAAAATAATACATGCATTTAATACATCAATAATGAATTTAAAATATATAAAATAGAAAAGTTATTTTATATTGTAATAATATGTCATTATATTAATGCTTTACTGCATTTCTATCAAATAAATGCAATCCTAAGAGCATAAGATACTTCTTTTAAAGAAAAACAAAATCGTAACGATCCCAAACTTTTGAATGGTAGTGTATTATATTTGATCCTATATGCTGGAATATAATAAAATGCCATTTTAATAAATACAAACATAATTTTACAAAACAGTACAGTATATGTTGCCTTTCTTTCCAGCTGACACTACCCATAATGTTCAATATAACTGGTGTATAATGTATAATGATGCTGAAAACTGCCATCATTTTCACATTTAAAATAATACATGCATTTAATACATCAATAATGAATTTAAAATATATAAAATAGAAAAGTTATTTTATATTGTAATAATATGTCATTATATTAATGCTTTACTGCATTTCTATCAAATAAATGCAATCCTAAGAGCATAAGATACTTCTTTTAAAGAAAAAAAAATCGTAACGATCTCAAACTTTTGAATGGTAGTGTATTATAGTTTATCCTATATGCTGGAATATAATAAAATGCCATTTTAATAAATACAAACATATTTTTACAAAACAGTACAGTATATGTTGCCTTTCTTTCCAGCTGACACTACCCATAATGTTCAATATAACTGGTGTATAATGTATAGTCTTGACAAAAGAACAAATGTAATTAGGGCTAAATCTGACCTATTATTTAAAAAAATATAAACCTACAAAATGTCTGTGTGAGTAATACATGCAGTAATGCTGTAAAAGTCACCACCAGAGCGTCCTCGATTCGTTTCTTTTCATCTAATAATGAATGAAAAGTGGGCATGAAAGTTGTGTGCCAAATGGCTAAGAAGATTGCTGATGAGTCTTTAAACGCTCCAATAAAACACTGACGTCCACTGCATTAGTTTTAATGACACGACCAAAGCTAGACTTCTATTTACACTCGTTCACTTCATTAACTTTTACTGAAAGACACATGAAAAAAGAGAAATATCCAATCACTCAAACCAGCGGCTATAACAATCTGACAAATGAACATGGACACGATGCAGGAGGGTTATACTGTGGAAAGATGAAGATCTATTACCAATAACAGATCAATAGTGAAGTATTAGTAGTAGTTATTTATTTTTATTGCCATGTCAGCATCTAAGGCTATTTTAATGGCAAAAACTGAGTGTGGATAACACAAGAGTTACATAAACACAAAATAAAAACCAAGCAAACACAAAAAACAGCATTTAAAATGATTTTTAATTATATTTGTTTTTTATTAAATTTTTTCATTTTTCAACTTTTTTTTTTTGTTAAATTAACATATGATAAAAAAAAAATCAAAAATCTTTTCTGGTAAAATCTTACTAAACAAGTCCCTGAGTGAATATGTTTAATGGAAAGGGGGGTCTTGCAGAACATGCATAGAGTTGGGTCTTCACATTTAAGCAGATAAAATAGTGAATATTAGAGTTAAAAAAATATATAAAAATTGCAGTCAAATCATTTATCGGCCTGTGCCTGTTTTGGAAATATGGCATGTGGTTGAAAGGATGGACGTGTGTGTGGTCTAATTCAGTCTTTTGATAATACTTTCAAAACAGTGTGATATTTGCATATTTTACAAACTGACATAATGTACAGCCCACTGGTAGGTTTCTACTGTAAATGCATTACTGTTATATGTAGAAGAAAAGGAAAGACTTTTAACAAGATAAAGCATCAAATAAACATTTTCTTTATCAGGACAGGCTGTAGAACTGTTTGAATCATACTTATAGATAAAAGTGCAGAACAGAGTTTTTTTTTCACTGTCACTTTGTTATTGACAGTGACTTAACGTGTGGTTGCTATTGTAAAAAGTAAAAAAAAACATAGTTGGTAATAGAAGTTGATAGAAGTGTGCTGTTGTCCAATGCTTCATCTAAAATTAAAAAATAAATAAAACTGTTTAAATGATTGGTATACAGTAGGCTACATATAGTTTTTGTGCCATATTAATAGAAAGATTGCACGGAGTATTTGTACTTCAAAAAATATTATTTGGCAAATAAAAATACACTATATACTAAAAAACGTTTGTTCACCAAACTAATCATCTGCTTTAGAAAGAAATGTTCACACTTCTCTGCTAGGATTCCACTGTTGCATTAAGAGGATTATTAATAAGTTGAGATAATCACTGATATATAATTAATTATAATTGAAAATAAATGTTATGGCTGATGACTAATATATGGTTATGTTATTAAAATTCTGAAAAAACAGTTGCAGCAAATAAAAATCTATAATGTAAAATTAACTACATAAAAAACTGTGTAATATGCATCACATAACTACAATGCACAACAATGACAAGTCTGCGAACTAAAAAGCATAAAAAAGTAAAATATTTAAACGCAATAATAACAGCGACAGCCAAGCAAAATGTACCAGAACAGGCTAAAGATATGCACCACCACCTGCACAGAGAACCTCACGAAGACATGGAAAGAGAGAGACATGATTCATAATTCATTCAGGTAGAGGTCTAGCTCTACTAAATTCACAGAAAACTCGGCTGATTCAAATTATATTTAAAAAAGCCTGAAATCACAGCGACATGTACTCTCAGAAAAAAAGGTACAAAAGCTGTCACTGGGGCGGTATCTTCTTCTCAAAAGGCACACCTTTGTACCTAAAGAGTCCATATTGGTACCTTAAAGACACATATACGTATCTAAAGTGTACATATTAGTTCCTAAAAGGTACAAAAGTGTACCTTTTGAAAAGGTACTGCCCCAGTGACAGCTTTTGTACCTTTTTTTCTGAGAGTGAAAAATGAGATCAAGCATAAGCCAAGCTACAGCTCATTACTGTCACCTTCACATCAGCTTCTGTTGCCACACTGCTCGTCGCTTCAGCATTATCCTCAACTATTCCACTAGTTTTACTCTGGGCCTGAGAATGCTCATCTTCATCATCCTCATCGAGAGTATATTTGTGGTTTCCAACTTCCTTGTCCTCCTCACTGATGTCAATTTCAGTCATGTGTGTCTCATCCAGGCTGTTTTTGCTTTCCTCTGATTGACTCAGAGAGTCAGCAGTATTGTGAGGGCCCTGCTCATTAGGGTCCGACTGATTATCCTGCGAGGCATTCTTCTCCGAGTCAAAACTAGCTTCTGACATTCCTGAAAGTAAACATAGGTGTGAGCATCTGACCGACTGTTTTTCCTTCTTGTGCTGAATTCAAGTAAATGTTAGAATTCCACTGAGGCTGAGGTTTCGGGAAGGCATTCTGGCATTATGCTGAATATTACAGAATAAAAGTGCATTTGAAGTACAAACAACCTGTAATTATTACAGGCCATTATTATACCCAGAACCCAGCGTTGAATGCTGAAATTGAATTTTCAATGACAGAGCTTGAAAAAGATGGGTTAGTAAATCAGCATATGCACATTCTTTCTGATCGTATGTTAGTTTTAAATGCATTTTAGTTAATATTATGTGACAAAATCATATGCAGTGCATCTTATAAACTTGCATTATACATTCCTCTAGACAAAGAAATTCTAATTCAGTAAATAAATGTGTCCGCTCACTAAAATGACATTTGCAGCACTTAGTTTGTACATCAGTCTACACTACTCACATCCAAAATGTTTATGGTTCAACAAGGACATAGATACTTATAAAGCAGACTAAACTCACAAGAGTTACAAGTGACGAGCTACAATGTAGCTTAATGAATAATAAAAATCCGTGTCTCTATGTCTGTGTGAGTTCACCTAGAAAGTGGGGTTATTATGGGTTTGTATAATAAAGCTCCAATTACACATGGTGATATGCTTTCTCCAAACCAAGGCTCGGATGTCATTTAATTATTGAGTTCTACATATTTTCATATACAGCAAACGACAATCAAAAATGGTAAATTCAATGCCAAAAGCAACTCCATAATATTATTGCGCTGCCTCATCTGTCAGATTTCATAAGTTTACTGCATGTAATTAAAATGTGTCCTAGTTTTGGAGATTGTTAAACCATCTTGTACAAGGAAATTGTGTGCATTGTGATAATTTACTCACTAGGTCAATAACTGAGGCAGTTTGAAATAAAATATTCATAAAGTTTAAGCATCTATTTAGTTTTAATAGAAGGAGGGTAAAAGTAGGCCATAAACAACTGCAGGAGGAAGCCCACTTTTCCTTTAAAAAAAAAAAAAAAGAAGCCATAAACAATAAGATGATGAAACCTAATACGGCGAAGGCTTAGGTCACGCTTTGCACTCCTCATTGGAGCGTCAAGTCACGTGACCTAGTTAATATTCATAAGCTAATCCTTCGCCATAGTAGATGGACACGTAAACGATTTTTCACTTTTCAGGCACAACACGCAGAAACCCAAAAGCAATACAAGGTGTCTGTTAAAAACCATCTGCTTTGTAAACACAAGTTTTGTTGTTTAATTACACGGTCTTTCTTCTTCCTTCCTGGAATCCGAGCTTTCATTGTTGCGCCGCACGTCACAAAGTTGCAATCGAGTTACTTCCTTTGCCTCGAGCGCTTCAGTCGAGTTATGCGTCACAAAACGCCATAAACCTGCACTTTTACTCTCTATGCCGCTTTTATATCAATGATACGACCGTCATTAAGCATGAACATAATTGATAGCATAATTATGACTAGGTGACATAACCCCACTTCTACTCTTCTCCTCATCATCCAAGGCGAGAAACGATCTGAACCGAGTAGACAATACGTCAACAGTCTGTTATTCTGTCTGAATGTGCTTCAGTCACTTTCCCCCATAGCAGGAGAGGCAGAGGATCAGCCCTGCATGCTTTAGCCATCTCACACACACACACACACACAGGAGCAGCGATGCAACAGTTGATAGTTCATCAGCACTCACCTGCACACGGATTACAGCGCTTCTCTTTCCTGCTGCACGGCTCTTTTCATAAAAATGGGCTCGGTTTGAGTTTGAGTTGCTGTGGGTCTATTTCGACACCCAGTGAATCCCTCCACAGCTCAGTGAAAGTCTTTTCAAACACACCCGGAAGAGGACGTGTGTGTGTGTGTGTGTGTCAGTAGATATTCCTGGAACCACAGCATGTCTGTCTCCTAGCGGTCAAGCCAACAATGCAACATCGAGAAACAATGCATAGAATCACACACGAGCTACACAACCAGCAATATCCATCAAAAGCAGTGTATTATTCATGCATGTGCTATTATAGTAGCCTACGTGTTTGCATGCGTTTTTTTTTTTTGCTTTCATTTATATATATATATATTTTTTTTTTACTTTTTAGGAATAAAAAACAGTTTATGATTTTCTTTTGAAATGTACTTCCTCTTGTTCCACAAATGCTCACAAATTACATTACTTGGTGGTGGGTGTAAATAAATGCACTTGTATTTAGCTTTAATGTATATTTATTTCAGTTTTAGTTAAACTTGTTTTGTTTCAGTTAGTTGCCAAGGCAGCATTTCTCATTTTCATTTTCGTTTAAGCTTAAATACAGAAATGAATTAAAGGTAAATACAATTCAGAATACTAATATTACATCATATTGTCTTGAATCACTATAAAATAATATTTTATAGGCCTACAGCTGTCTTCAGAAGGGTACATTAACTGTACATTTACTCCAAAAGAACTTTAATGTTGTGGTTAGACTGATAACTAAATAAAACTAATATTACCTTTGTGGTCTCCTCAGTCATCTTTCTGAAATGTAGAATAAAAATCACAATAACCCTGGTAAACTGATAGGCCTGCGATCAAACTATTTTCATATTAAATTATGTACTTTTAGAGTGGGATATCTGCAGTGTTTTGAGTGCATGCATGCATATAAAACATTTCAGCCACTAGATGGCATCTTTTATTTGAGTTACATTTTATCGCGATTTTGTTGTTAAAATGTACATTTTAATATAATACAGTTGGATATAATGCAACATTTAGTGTGAGTACCACTGCTTTCAAATTAGGGACTGTGATTTTATTCTGTAGGCAGCCCTAATTTTAACAGTAATAAAATAAAAATGCATGTAGTTTTGAGGAAAAATGCTCTCAGCACTGAATTGTAAAAGGCGGATTTATTTCTAGAATAAAATCTGAATTGATAGCCATCCACTAGAGGGACCTAAAGACCACAAATACCTGCAACAATAGAAAACTTTAATAATGTAAAGTCAAACAATCTTTGTATGCATATTGTTAAAAAAGATACTTTTTAGAAATAAAAACACAGATTTTCTTTTAACTTTTATTTGCTCTTATTTTGTATCGTGTGACTGTTGAAGAAAAATGATACAAATTACATCACATGGCGGTGGGTGTAAATAAATGCACTTAACACTAATGAAATGACAACATATTGCTACTGTGACGAACAAATCAAACGCAACAGGTTTTGAAACTATGTACAAGCATAAAAATCAGAATATTTACAGAGTGCCACAAAAGTTTGGATATTATCTTGAGATGTTTTCCACCAACTAACTGCACAATAAAATACAATTGAATCAACATTGCTGTATAACGGTGCAGAACAGAGAAACCAGCATGTGACATTACTCTGGGTATTCATACGGCAAAACAAAAGAAAACAGCACACAACTCTGCGAGCATAACAAGACACAGACCAGTACAACATTATTAGCATAACTTACACAGAAAGGAAATAAACCAATACTATATAAAACTGCTGATAATTGTAATTTAAAGGACACAATATAGAAACAGTGCAGTAATTAGGCTCAAGTAGATAGAAAGAAACCATGAATTTGTTGGTCTACTCATAATTGTCTGGGGAGAAATGAAAACATTCACATTTACATACATTTACATACATAATGTTACATGGGATATTTTTAAACGTTGAGAATAGAGCCAGCTATCTCAAAACTACTCACACAAGCACTCTCACTTATTTACTGCGGCAGGTTCAGGTCCACGCAGACCATGCATTGCTAAAAAACATTTTTCTTAATGATATTTGATAGAGGAACAATATCTGTCAAATGACATGCATTTCATCTTATGGCCTTAAAACTTTTAATACCTACAATTTCAACTTCTCACATGCACTATATTTCCAAAATATATGATCACCCCTTTCTAATTAATGGGTCTGGCTATTCCAGTAATTTCTGTGAGGACAATTAATGCAACGGCATACAACGGCATTCTAGAAAATGTTGTGATTTTAACTTGTTTGTTGGTGTATTGTCCTTCAGAAACAGAAAAAGGCCCTCCCCAAACTCTACAATGACATTGTATAATATAGCATTAAAGGGACAGTTCACCCAAAAATTAATTATTTTGTGTCATTCCAAATCAAACCTATAAGTCTATATTCCTCATCTTCAAAACACAAATTAAGATATTTTTAAGTGCATTCAAACAAATCTTTGATGCTTCAAAAAGTTCAAGAAGTAATCCATATGAATAAAGCGGTTTAATCCAAGTCTTCTGAAGATACAAAATTACTTTATACGATGAACAGATTTAATTTCGGCTTTTATGGACATAAAAACATTGATTGATGCACATGCATAGGGATAATATGGTAAACACGGAAGCTCAACTGCACTTGCTTGTCGTGCAAGAATAAATCTCATTGGTTCTTGCAGAAGCTCAAACATGCTTGTGTGACACTAACAAACCTCACTGGTTGTTATGAATCAAGCAGAAATATTCGAGCTTCCATTTACCATATTTTCTGTGCACATGTGCATTGATCAATGTTTCTATAATGAAATCTGTTCATCATATGAAGCGATTGTATCTCTTCAGAAGACTTGGATTCAACTGTTCAATTCATATGAATTACTTTAACAATGTCTTTACTGTAAGAACTTTTTTAAGCATTGCAGTTTTGGTGGCGTGGACTTTCAATGGAGGGACAGAAATCTCATGAAAAAATATTTTCATCTGTGTTTCGAAAGATCAATAACAGTCTTATTGGTTTGGAATGACTTGAGGGTGAGTAAATTATGACAGAAATTTCTAGTTTGTTTTCACTGGAAAATAATGGAATAGCAGAACTCGTTAATTAGAAGGGTTGTCCACATACTTCTGCACATATAATGTAACATCTCATTAATTTAATCCAATTGCAATAAAAAAATAACAGTGAAAATTGACTTTATGCTAGAAGATATATATGTCAGGACAGTTTTGGGGCTCTATAGTTACAAATGTTTGAAGAGAGGAATGAGCGAATGAGCTTTGTGAATAGTTAATATGACAGATGAAGCAAGCTGACAAAATTTATGAGGGAAAACGAAAAGGTGAATCTATGCTAGGTGCATATCATCTCCATCACCCTCGATCCTGCTTTTGAATGCACTTGTCTACGGTGTGACTGTTACAGGTCTTCATATTCAAGACCATTTGAGTGCTCTGATTAGAGGAGAATCCTAGCACTGAAGTTTGCGAATACTGCGAGAAATTCTCTTGAACTCCCGCTGACCCTTCTGCCAGCGCTTCAGCGACGTGATGACCAAATCTCCATCCATCTTCTGGCCCATTACTAGATAAGCAGCATTGATGTCGTTCATTTCATCACACACGCACTGAAGACCATCTTTCAGCCAGAGCACCGTCCTCTTGAGGTCACGCTCAGTAATGCCTCCATTCAGCTTGTAGATAGTTCTGCTCTTGGTTTCTGGAATGATCTTGGTGTCGCCATTCATGTAGGAGATCTCCTTGACTTTGATCTTTAAAGCTGGTGTGTAAATACGATTGAAGGTCGAGGACAATGGATATAAACAACTGCTTGAATTCAAGGTAGACCAAATAGATGAATGACTTTTGTCTAAACTCTTTACAATAAATGTTTTTGGATATTATTTTCACTTTATAGGGTCCTATGCTTAAAAGCCAGAAACCAGCCTAAGCTGGTTTGTTGGTCTGGTCTTTTGACTAGTTTTTGAGGAATGTTTTGCAAGCTAAACCAAGATAAGGGTGAATCCTAAATCAGTTAAGACCAGTAAACCAGCCTAGGCTGGTTTAAGCAGGTTTTCCAGCAGCTACAGAATATGATTAAAAGAGTTCTTGATTTTATATTATAGGTTCTTCAAAGCATCAGATGGTTTTCAAATACGTGCATAAATAATCAAAAATGATTTGTGGGATTTAAATGATAGTTCCCCCCAAAATAAAATTTCTGTGATCATTTACTCATCCTCATGTTGATCTAAACCTGTATGCATTTCTTTCATCTATGTAACACAAAAGAAACTGATCCGTCTCTGACTTTTCTTTTTTTTTGGCCTTTACGAAGACAGCTGTTTTGGACCCCATTGACTTTCATTGTATGGACAAAAACATTCATAAAAATATCTTCACTTGCATTCTGCAAAAGAAAGCAGGTCAAACAGAACAATAGTCGCTGGGGTATATTTGTAGCAATAGCCAAAAATACATTGTATGGGTCAAAATTATAGATTTTTCTTTTATGCCAAAAATCATTAGGATATTAAGTAAAGATCATGTTCCATGAAGATATTTTGTAAATGTCCTACTGTAAATATATCAAAACTTAATTTTTGATTAGTAATATGCATTGCTAAGAACTTCATTTGAACAACTTTAAAGATGATTTTCTCAATATTTAGATTTTTTTGCACCCTCAGATTCCAGATTTTCAAATAGTTGTATCTCAGCCAAATATTGTCCTATCCTAACAAACCATACATCAATCAGCTTTCAGATGATGTATAAATCTAAATTTCGAAAAATTGACCCTTATGACTGGTTTTGTGCTCCAGGGTCACAAATATGGGGGTCAGTAAATGATCTTCATGTTTTTGGGTGAACCCTGTTCGCTTATTAGGCTGCATAGCCCTAATGGACCTTTATTTTTAAGAGTGTAAAGCAGAGACACACCACTATATTAATTGAGATGCTTAAAACAATGATAACATATAGCCTTACCAAAGTCATTTTTGCACAGGCTGTCCACAATTTCATTGTCATTCTCAGGCTTTTCTTTGCAGGCATCACACACCCTTGGAACTGGGCAAAAAAAGATTAACATAGCAGAAAAAGTAAAGGGTCAACATGCATCTAAAAAGTGACTGTAATGAAGCGTTCCTACCTTCCTTGG